GAGGTCGAGGTTAGCATATATTCATGGGTCGCAAAGCAAAGGCAGAAGGTAAACCCCTCTGTGACCGAGAGGATGGTCACTTCCACTGCAGCAACAAACACAGAGATAAGATATATTCGGCTCTCTGTGAGGATGAGCAACTCATGCATTTGTCCATCCCAAAAAGGCTTCTTAGAAAAAAAGAAATCCATTCGTTGTGTATTTCGGATGAGGAATGCAACAGGGTTCTGTACTGGGTCCCCCTATAAACTGCGGGATTTCCTCATCCCGGAGCGGTTACGTTGAATTGCGGAAATATGGGGGAGGGACTTGTTTTGCATATGAAGATTCAGTATTCCGACACATTCCTCCGGCGTCCATCAATCATCACAAGGCACATAATCAAGATCATGCCTCACGCTTCTGAACCACACAAAAATAGCAGGACATTTGATTTTAGGAGATACACTGTCAAAAATAACAATAAATTAAGCATTTTTTTTACGTTTATGAATTGAATTTTAAGACTTTGATTTTTCCTTCAACTTTTGATGTTGAAATGATTAACAAAGGTGACTTTTATTGATGACTTTGATAGTTTGAAGCGCTATATTGTCTGGGTCGGTGTTGTAAATTATGATACTATGATACCTTAATTCTCTCTCTTTCTATATATATATTATTTCTTATATAAACGACTAAAATGTCAATAAAATTCACTTTGTTAAACCGTAGAGTTGAATTTTTAACATCAAAAGTCAATATAGCAGGGATCAACATCCCATTATGCAATTCATAACTCTAAATAAATGTAAAAATACCTGTGAATCGTGTACGGAAACTCTTAATAATAGGTATTTTTACAGTGTTTTCAGTAGTTGTTCACCCGGGTCGAACCTGATCAAATCTGAGTCATATTTCACCCTGAATAGTTGACTAAAAAGTGACTTTTATTGATGATTTTCATGGTTTGCAGTGATCTATTGTCTGGGTTGTTGTGAATTGTGATACAGAAACCTTATTTCTCTCTCTCTATGTATTATTTCTTATATTAACGACTAAAATGTCAATAAAATTCAATTTGTTAAACCGCAGAGTTGAATTTTTAACATTAAAAGTTAATATAGCAGTGATCAACATCCTATAAGGTGATTCATAACTGTTAATAAATGTAGAAATACCTGTGAATCGTGTACGGAAACTCAAATAACGTGCATTTTTTCCAGTGTATTCAGTAGTTGTTCACCCGGGTGAACCTGATCAAATCTGAGTCATATTTCACCCTGAATAGTTGACTAAAAAAAATGACTTTTATTGATAATTTTAATAGTTTAAAGCGCTATATTGTCTGGGTTGGTGTTGTAAATTATAATACTATGATACAGAAACCTTAATTCTCTCTCTCTCTATATATATTATTTCTTATATAAACAACTAAAATGACCATAAAAGTCACTTGTTTAACCACAGAGTTGAATTTTTTACATAAAAACTCAATAGAGCAGGAATCAACATCCAATAATGTGATTCATAACTTTAAATAAATTTAAGAATACCTGTGAATCGTATAGGGAAATTGTTAATTAATGGGTATTTTTACAGTGTATTCAGTAGTTATTCACCCGGGGCGAACCTGATCAAATCTGAGTCATATTTCACCCTGAATAGTTGACTAAAAAGAGACTTTTATTGATGTTTTTAATAGTTTGCAGTGATATATTGTCTGGGTTGATGGTATAAATTAATCTACAAAACCTGCTAATAAACTGCCACTAGTTTCTGTTATTTTACAGACTTATTTCTCTCTCTCTCTCTCTCTCTCTCTCTTTATATATATATATATATATATATATATATATATATATATATATATATATTATTATTATTATTTCTTATATAAATGACTAAAATGTCAATAAAAGTCACTTTGTTAAACTGTAGAGTTGAATTTTTACACATCAGA